TTCCTTCCTTACGCCATTGCTATCCATTCAAGGTTCAACGTCACAGTTGCCTTTGATCCGCAGAAGTTCTCATTCTCATGTCAAATTTCTATGCTCCCTTCTTTGGACCAATCATTATTCTTACAGGTGAACCAATTTATGCGAACACTTCACATGTACAATGTAGAATATATTGAGCATTACAAGCTTCTGACATACCGTATTTGTCGAATGAACAGCACATCTAGGTATTGAAGTTAACACATAACGATTGATATATTGCCACGCCCGATCTACTGAATTGCACCCCCCATACAATATCGCAACCTCTTATTCTACCATTTAACCATTACAAACTGCTTACCCTGTTCCTCACTGCCACTCTCAGCATCTACCTCTGCCTCCCTGTCCGACTCCTCCCCTTCCCTACCGTGGTAATCTATTCCACCCCGTCCCCACCGCCCGCCCCCAGCCATCGTCATCCCCGTCATCCTCACTGTCCAACCCATACTCATGGTGGATATTCCAGTCCTCATATTTGAGGCATCTCAAAGAACGGGTTATTCCTCCTCATCCTCATCACTCGCCCCCCAGTCATCTTCATCCCCGTCATCTTCACTGTCCAACCCATACTCGTGCTGAATATTCCAGTCCTCACCATCACTCTCTGCATCCCCCTCTGCCTCCCTCTCTGCCTCCTCCCCTTCCACCGCCGCTTCTCCTCCTCCTCCTCTCTCCTCGCCCTCCGCCTCCTCCCCTCCTCCCCCCTCCTCTCCTTCATCGACCGTCACCCCCTCGTCCTCTTCTTCCTCCTCCGCATCCTCCTCGCCCACCCTTGCGCGAATCCCCCTCCTCTCTTCCCGTGAAAGCAAAGGGCAGTCGGCAACATCATACTCCCGCAAAGTCGGCATTCGTCGGATAGAAGATGGCAGGTGAGACAGATTTTTGCACACAATCACCAGCAGCACCCGTAGCTTAGGCAGCTTAGAGAATGACTCAGGCAAGCTGCGGAGATTCTTTAACCCTAAGAGCACCAACTCTTGGAGGGAACACAGCTTCCAGAAATTAGCTGGAAATGTCGAGATCGCAAGCTTGGTGAAGGTACAGACTTGTAACTTGGACAGATTCCCGAAGGATCCTGGAAGTTTCTTCAGCCTGTCGCAGTCAATGATTTCCAGCGTCTCGAGCATTTTCAGCTGCCCGAAAGACTCGGGCAGCTCCCGTATTCTTAAGTAGCGCAGTTGCAAGACCCTCAGCGCTGACAGCCCTCCCAAGCTGGCCGGCAGTGCCTCAATTTTCGAGGCAAAATCGATCCGGAGCCTTTTCAGCTGCATGAGTCGTGAGATGGACTCCGGGAGTGCTAAAAGGTTATTCATTTCTATGATCTTCAGCTTCGTTAGAGAGGAGAGCTGGCCAAGGGACGGGCCGATGGTCAAGAAAGGGAGAGACCTTATCTTGAGGCTTCGAACGGATGGAAGAAGTTTCCTGCTGCTGCTGCCGGCGGTGTTGTCGAAAACTACCGAAGGACCCTTGGCTGTGCGTTTCAGCACTATCTCATCTCCTAGTAACGCGCCGATCCCGTCACATACCCGCACCTCCAACACCCTAACTCGCGGCAGCTCAACCAGCGACGCAGGGAGGCGTTTCAAGCCGCCCATTCGTGCGATCCTGACCTCCTCGAGCGCCTCCAGCCGTCCGATCCCCTCAGGAAAATCCGGTACTTTAGGGCAGTTGATGATTTCCAGGCTGGTGAGTGAAAAGACGCCTGAGAAGGAAGCGGGAAGAGCAGCCAGGTGAGGCATGTCTTGCAGCACCAACTCCTTGAGGCTTGTCAAGCAGCAGAAGCCGTCCAGTAGGGTACCTCTGAAGCGCTTAGCTTTCACGATCTTGAGGGTTTCGAGGGATTTCAGGGCGGAGAAGGATGGCGGAAGGTGGGTGAGAGAAGAGCAGTGATCTAGATGCAGATAGCGCAAACGCTGCATACTTTTCCCCGTTTCATCGGGCAGGACCGTGAGGTTCGGGCAAATCTCGATCGCCAAGTGCTCAAGAGAAGATAGCTGGGATAGGGTGTCAGGAAGTTTCTTCAGCTGCCTACACTCCACAATTTTCAGCTCCCGGAGAGCTGTCAACTGCCCGAGGGATTCGGGCAGGCCTGTGAGCTGGCCAAGGTTGTTCAGGCGCAGCTTTTGAAGGGCCAACAGCTGCCCGAAGTCCTCGGGTTGCGACGGAAGGATATAGAGATCATCCAAGGAAAGCTCTTGGAGCGTGGTAACCAGAGTCATTGAATCAGGAAGAATTGCGAGTTCTTCCAACTCCAGCACGAGTGTCTGTAGCCTGGACAAGCACCCAATATCATAAGGCAGAGTTGATACTTCTGGCATGTGAAGCGTGAGACTGGTGAGTGAAGGCAGGCGGAAAAGAGACGCCGGCAGAGACGTGATGTCGTCGCAGATCTTGACAACTAGAGTCTTGAGCCGCGATAGATGCTCTAGAGCCTCGATTAGGTCGTGCAGTCCCGTTACTTCTTCCAGGATTAGAGTTTCGAGCCTCGACAGTTGAGGAAAATCGACGGGTGGCGGGAGAGGAAACTCGCAATCTCGAACCTCCAGGACAGAGAGAGAAGAAAGTCCGGTGAGAGGCCGGCAGGCGCAGCCTCGAGCAGTTGCTGACGGAGAGACGGCTCAGACTGGGAAGCTGACGGAAGGATTCTGGAAACGACGCCAGGGACCGACACCCGTGCAGCTCGAGCGACGTTAAGAGAACCAGTTTGCCGAATTCCTGCGGTAAAGCCTCGAGACGGGAAGCGTGCAGCAAGAGGACTCGGAGAGACTGCAAGGAGGTCAATGTCTCGGGAAGACGCGTAACGCTTGTTTCGAGATGCAGTTTCTTGAGCAATGTGAGCCGTTCGATCGACGGAGGAATGGCGGCACGATACGAACACTCCAAATGGAGATGCTCCAGTCGAGTACACTTCTCGAACAGGAAAGTCAGGCTCTTCTCGCTTACGGCTGTGCGTCTGCCTTCGCGTCCCATCGTCTCAACACTAAGCTCGGCCAATTGAGGACACACGTCGGCCAGGCGAGAGAAAAGAAAGTTCGACGCTGAGGTGAGGCTGCCATCAGAAAGAACTATCTTTTTTAGGTTAGAGTACGACGCCAGAAGTTGAACAAACCGACGCGGGTCCATGAGGAGGTTATAAGGTAAGTGCATTTCTGGTTGCAAGCGGTACGCGATGCGACGCCATTGCTGGCTAACAAGCGCGTGCTCCAGCTGACCATCAGGTCGAACCAGAAGATCAAGAATCTGAGACAGCAGCTCCTCCGGTAGCTGTTGGATAGGCGATCCGACCGGCATCTTGAAACGAGGGACTAACAAGAGTCTAATGGCTGACCTATCTTGGCTTCACAGCTAACATCGCAAACAAGCCAGAGTAATGAGACTGAAAGCTATAACCGGCCAGCTCATCACACCTCGAGGCATTCAAACCTCGAGGCATTCAAACCAGCTCAGCACGGGGACCTTGGGATTGTCAGTGACACCGCGCTGCACCGCTCGTTTCATCAGACCGTTCCCGCCAAAATGTTGCACGAACAAAAGGTTTACGAAGAACAGACGGCGACGCAAAACGTACTCTGGCGAAATCTCTTCCTGGCCCTGCGAGATTCGTGGCCCCTGCACTCATGTAGGGATGTGGAGCGCATATTGGGGACTGCGTTGCCACCCGATTGTACCCGTTTGTGGGTACCTTGCCTAGATGACTCGCCCTAACAACACGGCAAGCGCTCCTATATTGCTTGAACATTCCAACCACCGGACTTTGTCTCAGATCTTACCAGATCAATGCTCTTCATATTCCAGCTTTTTTACTCGTGAATGTTACTTTAGATAGCAAACACTTATTGCGAATACTTCAATACCCGCACACCACTGGTTGAAAACACAATTTGTATATACGGTACCGGTACTGTAATCTCCTTTATCCTGCCCTTGTACATTGCCCCCCTTTACTGCACTCCAACACTTAGTAATTGCACCTTCCATTGTCACCCGTTCATGCAACCATACCATCTCGTCTGGGCCTTTCTGTGCTTGTACTTCCACCCTTATTCAATCAAAACATCTCCTCCCCCCTGGCCTTCTGAAACCACACATTCAACCTCAGCTTGTTTGACCAGACCCCTCACCCTGTCACCACATCATCCCTCCGGCTCACTGCACTGCTAGTACACCCAGCTTCAGCTCGTTTGACCAGCCCACTCCACCTCACCAGTCACCGCATCATCCCCTCTAACCCTCTCTACTGCTAGTACACCCAGCTTCAGCTCGTTTAACAAGACTCCCCACCCAGTCACCACGACATCCCATCCAGCCCTCTATACTCGTACATCCAGTCCAAACATCGTTCCATTCTGCACCTCCCTGCCCCCCCCACCACACGGTCCTCCCACCGCCACCCTACCAGGAAATGCCCTCTGGCCCTCTGTACTTGTACATCCAGTCCATAGATCGCTCCATAGCAGACTGTGGTGTGAACCGTAACAAACCCTGCTGCAAGCGCTGCACCTGCGGGAAATAGCTCGCCTGCCACTGCCCTATGGCCTGTGCCTGTGTCCTGTGCCCCATGCTGCAACCCTTGCTTACCCCACCCTACCAGGACATGCCTTCGGGCCCTCTGTACTTATACATCCAGTCCATAGATCGCTCCATAGCAGACTGTGGAGTGAACTGCAGCAGCCCCTGCTGCAACCGCTGCACCAGCGGGTTGTAGCTCGTCTGCCACTGCCCCCACCCACCCACCCATATCAGCCTACCAGGACATGCCCTCCGGCTCTCTGTACTTATACATCCAATCCATGGACCTCTCCATAGCAGCCTGTGGTGTGAACTGCAACAGGCCCTGCTGCAACCGCTGCACGAGCGGGTTGTAGCTCGTCTGCCACTGCCGCACCTTGCCCTGTGCCCTGTGCCCTGTGCCCTCCCCATCGCCATCCTACTATGACATGCCTTCGGGCCCTCTGTACTTATACATCCAGTCCATAGATTTTTCCATAGCAGACTGTGGTGTGAACTGCAGCAGCCCCTGCTGCAACCGCTGCACCAGTGGGTTGTAGCTCGTCTGCCACTGCCCTGTGCCCTGTACCCCATTCTTCCCCATCACCACGACATGCCATCTGGCCCTCTATACTGGTACATCCAATCCATAGATCTCTCCATAGCAGCCTGTGGTGTGAATCGCAATAGCCCCTGCTGCAAGCGCTGCACCAGCGGGTTATAGCTCGTCTGCCACTGCCCTGTGCGCCGTGACACAGCAATCATGCGCCTCACCCGCGCCTCCCTCGCTGCTGCATACGCTGCTAGCGCCATCGGCACTGCTGCTGACGCCTCGTCCCGCCAGTTGTAGACTGCACTGAGACTGCTGCTGCTGCTGGTAGTACCTGCTGTGCTGCTCTCACTGCTGCTGCTATCTCTGCTGCTTCCAGTGCTGCTGCTGTCACTGCTTCTGCTGTGTTGCATGGTTGGGGCGATGCAGTACTTAGTTAAAGCCCGAGCCAGCACAGCAGCATCTTCTATCGCGCTGTTCGCCCCTTGGTTCACAGTCGGCAGCATGGCATGAGCCGCATCACCCATCAAAACCACTCTGTTCTCCCCTCCAACCACTACCCGCCCCTCCACCTTCCCTCCCCCTCCTCCCACGCTCGGCGCCCCGCCAACCCACGGCGCATCTGCAGGAAGCTCGAAAAAACCGATTTTTACTGCCCGAACGGTCCGGGAAAACATCGCATGAGCATCATACGGATGGAACCAGTTCCACATGTCGTCCATCCCCTTTAAAGCGTCACTCGGTGTCCACATAGCGAGGTTATCCGCTGTAATCAGTTCCTGTTCCGAGAGAAACCAGTACTGCTTGTCGCGACCCATGCTCCAGGTGCCGTAGACCTTTCCTGGACCGAGCACCCAGTAGGCGCTGCCTTTGATCCAGTCGGGGACAGAGGAGGTGACTCCGAGAATGCAGGAGATGCCGCTGTAGGCTGCTGAGCCGCGACTTGGCTTACGGTCCTGGAGTGAGAGGGGCAGAGAGAGGGACAGTGTGAGTGAGAAAGGGAGAGAGGGACGGAGAGAGTGAGTCTAGGTGTGAGTGAGTGAGAGCTGGCCCGAGCACCCAGTAGGCGCTGCCTTTGATCCAGTCAGGGACAGAAGAGGTGACTCCGAGAATGCAGGATATGCCACTGTAGGCTGCTGAGTCGCGACTTGGCTTACGGTCCTGGGAGAGGGCGGGAGAGGGGGGAAGTGAAGCACGGTGCAGTTAAAATTAAAGGAAGTAGACTCAAATTGCCAGTCACACATGGAAGAGGTGACTCCGAGAATGCAGGAGATGCCGCTGTAGGCTGCTGAGCCACGGCTTGGCTTACGGTCCTGAGAGGGAGGGAGGGAGGGAGAGAGTGAGTGAGTGTCTTTAATTGTGTGGATCAGGTGTACATATGTGTGAGTGAGCGAGTCCAGGTGTGAGTGAGTGAGAGTTTGAGCAGCTGATAAGAGATGCTGACATGGCACGACATCACTCACATGCGGGGTATGATGTGGCATGACAGCACTCACACGTGGGTCATGACGTGGCATGACATCGCACACATGTGGGTCATGACGTGGCATGGCATCACTCACATGTGGGTCATGACGTGGCATGACATCACTCACATGTGGGTCATGACGTGGCATGACATCACTCACATGTGGGTCATGACGTGGCATGACAGCAGAACGGACGGCTGATTTCACCCCATCTGCTCCCACCACCACGTCCCCCACCTCACATGTGCCATCCTCGAAATGCACTCGCACGCCTGGTGGAGGAAAGGGGAGGAGGGAAGGTAGGCAGGTAAACAAGAGTGTGGGATGAGTGCTCCCACCACCACATCGCCCACCTCGCATGTGCCATCCTCGAAATGCACTCGCACTCCTGATGGAAGAAACAGAATGGAGGGACAGAAGGACACCGAGCGTTTTGCTGTCACTCGCACCTCAAAAATAGGAAAAATAACAGTTTTGCTCCCTCCCAACCACCACCGCATCGCCCACCTCGCACGTGCCATCACCGAAATGCACTCGCACGCCTGGTGGGGGAGGAAAGATTCAAACAAACAAGACACCTTTGAGTACTCACTGAGACAACTTAGATAGAACTCAAAGGTCACAAGCTGGTTCATTGGAGTACCAACCAAGCAAAGAAAATAGCGGCATCCGAACTCCCAATCACTCGTTTCCTACTTGCACACAAGTTACCAAAATGACACCCGCTGCTCAAGTCTACCCGGTGACAGATGGCGTACCTTTCCCCGGGCCCAGATTTTGCACGGAGATGCAATATCACTATTTGGGACAGCAAGAGACAGCTGACACGCCTGGCACACTTAGTGCAACAGCTGGCGTACCTTTCCCCGGGCCCAGATTGTGCACGGAAATGCACTTCTTGTTGAACAGAATGGGCGGCACTGATGCTGACTCAGCGCCTGACATGACCTCGTGGACCAGCAGGCCCTGCCACGTGGCAAGGGGAAGCGGGACGATGGGGAGATGTGGGAGATGGAGGAGGTGGGGTGGGGGGAGTGGGGGAGCCATAGAACTTTAACTTCGCCTGCCTGATACTCTACTCTAACCAAATCACGCGAGCCGTCGAATCGAGCAGCGGCTTAAGACTCACCTGCAGCTCTACTCGCTCAGTGCCATCATGGGGTAGACATGAGACAACTTTTGAGGCGCCTCAGCAGTCAGCTCTGCTCACTCCAGGACCTTGTATTGCCTTATTGCGTAGCCGTACCCGTATTGCCTTCCAAACTACTGTGGCTTGTGCACCACCATTCTTCACCCACTATATTGGAGTCACTTTTGAGGATTCACAAAAATCGTTACCATCCTTAACCCACTCACCTGCAGCTCTGCTCGTTCCAGGGTCATCATGAAGCCGTATCGCCTTCCAACCCACTGTGACTTGTGCACGACACGACTACATTGGAGTCACTTTCGAGAATTCACAAAAATCACAACCATCCGTCACCCACCCACCTGCAGCTCTGCTCGTTCCAGGGCCATCATGGGGTAGCCATAGCGCTTGGACATGAATGAATAGTCAAAGGTGCGAAGCTTCTTGCCACTTTCCGTGTATGTGTGCAGCGAGGAGATGGGCCCACTGAGATTCTGTGAGGCGGACAAGAAGAGAAGAGACGAGAGACGTGACAATGGAAGTAACAACGTGTTAGGAACGTAACAATGACTTGAAAACGCATAGGCTTGGAGACATCATAGTGTGTCAGGAATTTAACCTCCAGTTGAACCTCCCCCAGATCCAACCCCCCCCAGGTCTACCCATCCGAAACCGTGCATGCTTCCTTTCACCTGGATCTTCTCATGCAGCTCCAGTCCGCTCAACACGCGGAGCCCATTCGCCGCTCAGCGACAGCCACGCGCCAACCGCCCCTCGGTTCCAACACCCCAGTTCCACTTCCCCCTGTTATACCTCCCCCCAGCTTTCCCCCCCTCACCTGGATTTTCTCATGGAGCCCGAGTCCGTCTAGCACGCGAAGCCCATTGGCGCACAGCGACAGCCCCGCGCCAACCGCCTGGATCTGCCTCCCCCAGTTCTGCCTCCCCCATTCTACCTCCCCCAGTTACACCTCCCCGCCCCCTATCCTGTGTTCCTCTCACCTGGTACCGTCACACAGTCTCGCGCCGAAGGCCCAGTTATAGCCAGCCTGGGATTCGCGCACCGGCGGCTGTAGCCTGGAGGGCGGAGGCGGCTGTAGCGGAGCGTTGGAGGATGGCTGGAAGCGTGCGGGCGGTGATTTGGCGGAGCGCGAGGGAGAGAGTGCAGCCGCCGATGCCGGCTCCCACGATCAGGACGCGTAGCTTGCGCATTGTGGCTATTGCGCGATTTGACTATAGTGCGAGGTGACCGTAGCGGGCCAGCGTGAACATAGATGCAGCTGAATACCTGGAACTTTGCCCTGGGACGCAGATGAATCTACCTAGAAGAAAGAATGTAAGGCAGGTGCGATGCGTTTCCTGTTTTCGTTCTTCTCGTCCAACAAGGAGAAGCTATCCGAATCGAGTGACTGTGGTGATCGTTGCAATGGATGACGATGAGTGCGACGGCGATGTAACCCGGTTACGTGTCACACTGGAAGCTGATCGAAACAACCAAAGTTCCAGCCATTTTTCCAGCCCGAAGCGAGAAAGCAAGAGAAGCTGAGATGCCGACTAGGACGTGGAAAAGGTATGGGAGCGGGAACACAACCAAGGATGCTCAGAGCGAGTTTTGAGATGTCCCAAAACTCGATGAGGTGAAGGCGGAACGCAACAAGATTCCGAAAATGGGAATCCCGAGAAACAAGCCCGAGGAGGATCAAGGAATTCACCAATGCCATGAGGAGCAGGGCTTGTACATTCGCGATAAAAAGCGAACGGTTTGAGTTCACTCCTAGTCTAACCTGTTCCTGCAAGATTTACCGCTATGTGAGTTGTATTGCCTAAGGTATTGTTCTCCACCAGTCAGTCAGCCTAGGAATACATAGCATTGTGAGAGAAATAAATGACCACCAAATATATCTACATGCACATACGGTAAAACAATAACTATTTTAAATCTTGGAGCGATCATGTAGATGGTAGGGTAATTACAAGGATAAGGACGAATTAGATGATGACGACGATGGTGGTGGTGCCGTCTATGTCGATGGCACGGGTATTGATTGTGATGACGTGGACGGTGCAGATGTCGAGGATGCACAATGGATGGCCGAAGGACTATGAAGCCCAGAACTAAGAGCCTCTTCCATGCTCGGCCCATGGGCCAGTGTCGACCCTCTTCTTCCACCATCCACAAATATACACACACTATTGCCGCACCGCCTCCCCCCCATTTCACCCCCACTTCCCTCCCCTCCATCCTCCATCCCTTCCTCCTCCACCTCCTCATCCCCTTCCTCCATCTTCCCTTTCCCTTTTTCTTTCCTCCCTTTCTTTCCCTTTTTCCCCTTGCCCATACCCTCTTCATAACCTCCAATAGGAGTGGCCCAAACCGCCCCACTTCCATGCCTTTCCCCCACGCCATTTCCTTCCCCAGCAGCAGCAGGGTCCGTGGGAAGAAGAGAGGGGGAGGCGGGAGGGGGAGGAGGGAGGGCCTTGAGAGCAGAGTGCAGGAGGGAGAATGGGAGGGCGAGGGCAGGGAGGAGAACACCGGAGCGATGGAGGAGTGCCAAGGTGATGAGAGCTGGGGGAGAGAATAAAAGAGGGGAGAAAGAGGGGACGGAAAGGGAGGCAGATAGTTTAGGAGTCAAGGAGAATGTCTGATTTGAGTCAGAACAGACTGGAAACCGAAACCCATGGAGGAGGGTTACCATGATGGGGAATGAGTGGAAGGGAGGATGGGGAAGGAAATGAACACATACGAACCTTCATCATATGGACAGTCTCGTACCTGTAAAGGTGACAGCAATGGTTCTAAAATCATCTGGAGTTCTAAATATTATTTTGCACAGGCCAACCTGCAAGGATGAAGAGCATGACTGCAATGGCTCCGGCGAAGCGACCCCAGCAGGCATGAGTGACGAAGCATGCCATGCCGAAGAATGAGGGACAGGCGAAACTGTTGAGTGGGAGACGGGATAAGAAAAAAGGAAATGGTGTGCGGAAGGGCACAGCAGATAGCAAGTGACCCCAGCAGGCACGAGTGACAGAGCAGGCCATGCTGAAGAATGACGGACAGGCAAAGCTGTTGCATGGAGGAGGGGATTAAAGGAAGGACGGACAGAGTTCGTAGCGAGGCATAAGGAATAGGAAGTGACCGCAGAAAGCGTGAGTGACAAAGCAGGCCATTCTGAAAACGCGGAGGAGAAAGGAGTGTTATGTTGTGTTGCGGATAGCCTAGCCGTCTGTCTGCCCGCTCCGTCTGTCTGTGAAGACAAGCTTCTGACCCACCTGCAAGAGCTGTCACTTGAACGTGACGAGGAGGAGGAGGAGGCAGAGGAGCCAGGGTGAGGGGAGAAGAGTGTTGTGTTTTGTATGGCCTTGCCGTCTGATTGCCCGTGCTGCCTTGTCCGCCTGTCTCTCTGTACCCACCTGCAGGAGCTGTCACTTGAACGTGAGGAGGAGGAAGATGAAGAGGAGGAGGAGCCTGGTCGTGGCGAAAACAGAGTAGTGTTTGGATGGCCTTGCCGTCGGACTGTCCGCTGTCCGCCTGACTTTCTGTACCGCCCACCCACCTGCAGGAGCTGTCACTTGATCGAGACGAGGAGGAAGATGAGGAGGAGGAGGAGCCTGGTCGTGGCGAAAACAGAGTTGTGTTTTGGATGGCCTTGCCGTCTGACTGCCCGCTCTGCGCTCCCCGGTTGTCCACCGTGGCATTCGTGGTGAATGTGAGGGGCGCCACGTCAGCGACCACTGAGATGGCGTCGTATAGGACCACTGGGGGAGAGGGAGGAGTAGGGGGGATGGAAGGAGATGTGATTAGGGGCGCCACTTCAGCGACCGATGAGATGGCGCCGTATAGGACCACTGGACAAGGGATGGGGGAGGAGGAGGGAAGGAAATGTGATGCATGGTGCATGGAGCACAGCGCATGGTGGTGCATGGGACACAGCGCATGGTGGTGCATGGGACACAGCGCATGGTGCATGGGACACAGCGCATGGTGCATGGGGCACGGCGCATGGTGCATGGTGTACACCCACATGGTGCACAGTGCGTGGTGCATTGTTGGGAGGCATCCTACCAAGGCACGAGCGCTGGGAAGCAAGGGAATCCTGCAGCTGCAGCAGAAAGGTGAAGTTGGTTGTTGCTCCTGCTGCTATGCTGCGCTCCTGTGCCTGGTGGTGGGTGGAGGTGGGGAGAAGGTGAGGAGAAGGTGAGGAGAAGGCGGGATGGGAAGCGAGGGCTGATGCGGAAAAGAAAGGTGAAGTCGGTTGGTGCTCCTGCTGCTATGCTGCGCTCTTGTGCCTGGTGGTGTGTCGAGGTGTGGGGAAGGTGAGGAAGATTGAGAAGCAGGAGAGAAGGTTGATACGGTTATGCTGAGAAGAAACGTCCATTCAACAATATGCGGAAGAGCAAAGTAAGGGGAAGAGTCAAACAGAGTGGAAGAATCAGAAAAAGTTGAGCAGCAAAGGAAAACTAGAGGACAGAGAAGGACTCACGGGGATTGGAAGAACGCCAGAGGAGCAATTCTGAATCTGCAGGAACAAGGGGGGAGTATGTTAAATGGGGGAGAAGTTTTTTTGTTAAACCAAATGTCTGGCAGACGCTTGCAACGAAAACCCGTGCGTGAGTGCAGATGAATGAAGTACAGCACACACATGTTCTACGTGCTGACACTTGAACCACACTCATGCATACCGTGAGAGTGAAGTCTGCATCCTGGGAGCCATTGTTGGCAATCTTGATGTTCACCCGCCCCTCACTGGACATGGCCCCAAACAGGGGCCTCAGCAGTGTAAACGTGCAGAGGACAAACCCGTTTCTCCCCTCCTCTCACCACATTGTCCAGTGTGGATATGGGAAGGAGAGTCGAGCCTACCGTGAGGGTGAAATCCGCATCGAGGGAGCCGTTGTTGGCGATCTTGATGTTCACCCGCCCCTCGCTGGACATGGCTTCAAACAGCGGCGCAGCCACCGACAGTATGCGACCGGGGCTCCTGTGGGGGGGAGAAGCGGGAGTAGGGGCAGGAGGTAGATGAGAGAGAGTTGTTGTTGGCAATCTTGATGTTCACCCGCCCCTCGCTGGACATGGCTTCAAACAGCGGCGCAGCCACCGACAGTATGCGACCGGGGCTCCTGTGGGGGGGAGAAGCGGGAGTAGGGGCAGGAGGTAGATGAGAGAGAGTTGTTGTTGGCAATCTTGATGTTCACCCGCCCCTCGCTGGACATGGCTTCAAACAGCGGCGCAGCCACCGACAGTATGCGACCGGGGCTCCTGTTAAGAGGAGGAGAGGAGGAGGAGAGGGAGGAGGGGGAGGAGAGGGAGGAGCGAGAGGAGGGGGAGGAGAGGAGAAGCAGATGGAACAAAACTAGATAGAGCTGGTTGGGGGGTTACGAAGGGAAGAAAGAAGTACAGAAGCAAGGTGTGAAGCTGAGGCTTCCTCTTATCATATCCACACTCACTCGTTCGTTTTGAAGGTTTACATCCGCACATGGCTGTTCTACATAAAGATGACAACAATACCAACCTGCTGCTAATGAAGGCAATGTCAGCACTGCATGGTTGTCATTGTCATCGCACCAGCACCCACCTGTTCTTGATGAAGGTGACGTCATCAGCAGCAATCTCGAGAGTGATCAGGGAGTTGAGTCGCTGAGTCACGACCAGGGCGATACTGAGAGAGCCGTTGGGCTGGAGGATAGTGGGGTTCAATGCGGTGTAAAGGGATGATCAGGGGGACACGAAAAAAGGCTGCAATCTCGAGAGTGATCAGGGAGTTGAGTCGCTGAGTCCGACCAGGGCGATGCTGAGGGAGCCATTTGGCTGGAGGGGAGTGCGGTTCAGATGGGTTCAGATGGAATTCGAAACACAGGAAAGCGAGAAAGTTGAGTCGCTGAGTCACCACCAGGGCAATACTGAGAGAGCCGTTTGGCTGGAGGGGGTGCGGTTCAGATGGGTAAAGGGAAGGGTAATGGCTGGTCATGAGACTTGATTCGCTGAGTGACGACCAGGGAAATGCAATAATGGAGGGGGAGGGGGGGGGAAGGTTTTTTTGTCCAAGCAGGTGTAAATGGGCCCAGACGAAAAGAGAAGGGGAGGGAGTGAAGGAAGGTGGGTGCGTTCGGAGAAAAAAGAATGACATACAGCTGCGTTTTGAGTCGACTCAAAACTCAACTCTTTTGAGTCGACTCAAAACTCAAGAATGGCATACAGCTGCGTTTTGAGTCGACTCAAAACTCAACTCTTTTGAGTCGACTCAAAACTCAACTCTTTTGAGTCGACTCAAAACTCAAGAATGGCATACAGCTGCGCAGTGACCGATCGCATGAAGCGTTTACCGTTGGTGAAGTCATAACGGCACTCATGCTTTCCAGGGTGGTGATGGGTCTCAGCGACGACAGCGCATGTATGGGCTCAAGGCCTTCCAGAATGACTCTTGGGATGACTCTTGGGTTGACCTACAATCTCCTAAAAATCCTTGGAAAGCAAGCAGCTGCACTCACGCTTTCCAGGGTGGTGATGGGTCCAAGCGACAACAGCGCGTGGATGGGGTCAAGGCCTTGAGCCACTCGCTGGGCGTCCTCCTGTTGTGCAAGGTGAGGGTTGGGGAGAGGATGAGTTGGGGAAGTGACGAGTGTGTGTGATTGGAGAGAGTTGATTCACGACTCAATTCAACAGATGCGTGCATGGGCTGAAGGCAGGAGGATGCCAGATGCGCTACTCGCTGCTTTTGAGTCGACTCAAAAGGATGCCCAGATGCGCTACTCGCTGCTTTTGAGTCGACTCAAAAGGATGCCCACATGCGCTACTCGCTGCTTTTGAGTCGACTCAAAAGGATGCCCAGATGCGCTACTCGCTGCTTTTGAGTCGACTCAAAAGGATGCCCAGATGCGCTACTCGCTGCTTTTGAGTCGACTCAAAAGGATGCCCAGATGCGCTACTCGCTGCTTTTGAGTCGACTCAAAAGGATGCCCAGATGCGCTACTCGCTGCTTTTGAGTCGACTCAAAAGGATGCCCAGATGCGCTACTCGCTGCTTTTGAGTCGACTCAAAAGGATGCCCAGATGCGCTACTCGCTGCTTTTGAGTCGACTCAAAAGGATGCCCAGATGCGCTACTCGCTGCTTTTGAGTCGACTCAAAAGGATGCCCAGATGCGCTACTCGCTGCTTTTGAGTCGACTCAAAAGGATGCCCAGATGCGCTACTCGCTGCTTTTGAGTCGACTCAAAAGGATGCCCAGATGCGCTTCTCGCTGGGCATCCTCCTGCGCTGCTTCCTCCTGCCAGATGAGGAGGAAGCAGGAGAGGAGGCGCAGGGACGAGGACGAGGGAAGAGGAGGAGCAGGGACGAGGAGGAGCGAGGAGCACGGTGAGGACGGGCCCACAGAGAGCTGGCAGCGGTCAGTGCATTGTTGAGATTCGGATCATTAACCACCCATCTCAACCATCCAAAACCGACCTGAGGAAGGCATCAGCTGAGCATCATCTGACTGACCTGGGCGAAGTCCAGCAGCTGATTCGAGAAGCAAGACCCCACGGAGCGCTGGCAGCGGTCGGGCTGAAAGCGGAAGGCGTTGAAGCTGGTGCCCACCTTGTTGCACTCACTGCCGTCCAGCGAGTAGCGTTCCTTGTCCACTAGCAGCCAGCCTGGGGCGGGGCGGGGGGATGAGGAGTTGGAATATCTTGAGCTACACATGTGTATCCGTGGGATTCTAAAGCTGGTGCCCACCTTGTTGCACTTGCTGCCGTCCAGCGAGTAGCGTTCCTTGTCCACTAGCAGCCAGCCTGGAGTGGGAGTTTCGAACTCCGGGATAAAGGATTAGAAGGAGAAGTGGAGGTGACCTGGTTAGATGGAGTATCAGCTGAGCATCATCTGACCTAGTTAAATGGAGGTGCCACTTAACTAACAACCAGAAGCGTTCCTTGTCCACTAGCAACCAGCCTGGGTGAGCAGCTGAGTTTTAATTCAGGGATCCGGAGGATGGAATAGGTCGGCCTGGACAACTCTATAAATCGCTCTTCAGGAAGTCGGAGGACGGAGAAACTCGGGGTGAGTCGGCTAAAGCTGGGGGAGCCAGGTCGCAGGGGCACGGAGAGAAGGCGGTTACTCAGGCTGGGCAGCTGCGTGTAGGTCAGGAAATTCGCTCTTCCCACCCTTCCCCCCCCATCTCCCCCCTTAGCCGGTATATCATATCAAAGCATAACCCCACCTGATGTATCAGAGGTGAATCGACCGAACGTAGGAGAGCCGGGTTGCAGGGGCACGGAGAGCAGGCGGTCACTCAGGCTGGGCAGCTGCGTGTAGGTCAGGAAGTCGCCCACCAGAGTGGCTGAGAGCGATTGAGAGGGGTTCACTGCCACTGGAGCCGTCGGGGAGAGGATGAGCGTTTCCTGTGGTGGGGTGACGGGGAGTATGGGGAGGAGGGATGGGAGTGATATTTGAGAATTCTTAAAAGGCGCAGCTGTGTGTCATGAGAAAATCCTTGGACACTCATGAGAATACTAGAGCAAAATGGCAACCTGATCCTGCCCTAAACCCTAAACCCTAGACCCGAAACCCACTCCACAGACAGCGACAGCCCTGAATGCACCGCACCTGCTCGGGCGTGTCTGATAACAATTTGCTGATGGTGATCTGAATCTGGAACACCAGAGACGCCACACCAATGCGGTATGTGGGGTACCTGGTGGTGTGGAGGTGGGTGGAGAGGGGTGAACAAGGACAATCGTGTGGGGTAAATCATGCCTATGCTGAACATGGGTGGGTTATCTGGTGGTGGGGGGGTGGAAAGGATGGGTGAAGAGGGGTGGAATAGGGACAAGTGTGTGGGGTAAATCGTTTCTATGCTGTACTCAGGATATCTGGTCATGGGGGGTGGTGAGGACGTGGAGGGGTGAAGAGGTGGGGAAGAGTGTGGCACAGGAAACAACTGGTGGGTTACAACACGCCTATGTGCGGCTTTTTTAACTTAAATACTTATTCGAAAGAAGAAAACACAAAAGAATGTTACAACTGACCAGGTGTCGTTGAATCGAAGGCAGTGAGAACTGGAGGGCACTCCTCCAAAGAACAGCTCTGGGATGAGTGGTGCAAGAATCGAGACGTGAAGCACAAGAAAAGAACCCGAATTAGGAAATCGTCTTGCCGTACTCTGCTATGTGTGAAGTGCATTTGCATTAGGGGAAACATTTGCATTAGGGGAAACATTTGCATTAGGGGAAACATTTGCATTAGGGGAAACATTTGCAGTCTCTCCTTCTTCCCCTTCCCCCAAAAACTCCCCATCCCCTCCAACATCCACTCTCCTTCTCTTCCTTACTTTCTTAACCCCCACAAGCACACCTTCCCTTCAGCAGCCACTCACTCTGCCGCCACAGGCTGCAGTCTAGGTCCGCCCTGAACTGTTGAGGATTGTCCAGACCAATGGAGTCTTTCCACGTGTCACCCCCACTGCAACTGCAGCAGAACCCCTGGACACAGGCAACGGGGAAGACAAGAGGAAAATAGGAGGGAAGGATTGCGTGGGGTTCGCACAATTCTGATCCGCATGGCTGTTGGGAACTCTGGGGCCGCCCCGTATAGAGGAACCAGCCACACGTGGGGTCACTGTCATATGCACCACCACCTTGGCGCCCGGTTGGTCGACAAGTCTAGTTTTGAGGCGCCTCAAAACTAGACTTCGCCCGGTTGGTCGACAAGTGTGTCACTACAGGAGCTCATTCACCTGACTGTTGGGCACCCTGGAGCAGTCCGGGTAGAGGAACCAGCCGCATGTGGGGTCGCTGTCATACGCACCGTCCCTGCACCCCACTTCTCAGACAAGTGTGCGACTCTCTAAATGTTGACTCACCTGGCTGTTGGCCGCTCTTGTGCCATCCGGATACAGGAATCAGCCACATGTTCTGCCGATGTCATACGTACCGTCACTGCACCCCGTTGCTCACCTGCTCCCTGCCTGCGCACTATCCATTCCAGCTCGTTCACTTGTTCACCTGACTGTTGGGCACTCTAGAGGCGTCCGGGTAGAGGAACCAGCCGCATGTGGAGTCTCTGTCATAGGGACCGTCCCTGCACCCCGTTGCTCACTTGAGTGGGTGTCTCTCTGTCTCAGAGTGTTTATTCACCTGACTATTGGGCACTCTGGAGCCATCCGGGTAGAGGAACCAGCCGCAGGTTGGGTCGCTGTCATACGCACCGTCCCTGCACTGCACCCCGTTGCTCAGTTGCTCCCTGCCTGCCCACTGTCCAGACCAGCCCGTCCACTCATTCACCTGGCTGTTGGGAACTCTGGAGCCGTCCGGATAGAGGAACCAGCCCCATGTTGGGTCGCTGTCATACGCACCGTCCCTGCACCCCGTTGCTCACTTTGAGTGTGTGATTCTCTCAGAATGTTGAAATGCTGATTCACCTGGCTGTTGGGAACTCTGGAGCCGTCAGGGTATAGGAACCAGCCGCACGTGGGATCGCTGTCATACGCTCCGTCCCTGCACCCCGTTGTAGTCACCACCACCTCATACGGGCGGCCGTTGAAGGACTGCCACGTGGCAGGCAGGCAGAGAGTGGGGCGGGCAAGGGGGAGAAGGTTTAAGAAAATTGGAATCAGCTGCAGAATTTGGGGGATCGAAGCTAAACGCCTGGAATTCACAGAGGCGAATTTTAACCTCAACAAGACAGAAATGGTAAAAGATCATAACTCTCACATAACACCTCCTCTTTCTTAAAAAAAACCTGAACTTCTTCTTTACCTGCAGGAACGTGAGAGGGTACATGGCATATACTGGAGTCTTAACCACAGTGATCTTGACAGGGTCCGCCAACCGCCTTTCCACTCCCTCCGCCCCAACCCCCCGCCTTACCTGTTCCTGCTGCTCGCCTGCTCATGCTTCGTTGCTCCCTGCTCGAGACCAAGGCTTACCTGCAGGAACGTGAGAGGGTACACGGCATAGACCGGTGTCTTCACCGCCTCCCAGGCCTTACCTCCTGCTGCTGCCTACGCGAGACCAAGGCTTACCTGCAGGAACGTGAGAGGGTACACGGCATAGACCGGTGTCTTCACCACAGTGATCTTCACAGGGTCTGCTAACCGCCTCTCCACTCCCTCCGCCCCATTTCCTCCTCCTCCCGCTCCTCCTCTTCCCACTCCTCCTCCACCTCCCCCTCCTGCCACAGTGCCATTTCCACCTCCGCCGTTCCCTCCCTCGCCGCTGTTTCCTTCCGTGCTGCTGTTCTCGCCTCCTCCTCCGTCGTCCCCTCCCTTGCTATCTCCCTTGCTATCCCCCTTGCTGCTGTCTCCCCCGTTTCTCCCACCAGCAGCGCTGGTGCTGTCAGTGACGCGAGTCAGCACTGCCTCTATTGCCTCCGTGCCTAGCGTCTGGAGGGGAGGAAGAGGGGGGAAAAGGGGGAGGGAAAAAGAGGGTGAACTCAGAGTTTACTTAGACGTCACTGCATCATGTGTAGTGTTTGTGTTGTCAGTGATGCGAGTCAGCGCTGCTTCTATTGCCTCCGTGCCGAGCGTCTGGAGGTGGGGGCGGAGGAGGGAGAAGAGGCGGGAGGAGAGTGGGAATAAGAGGAGGGAGAAAAGGAGGGAGAAACAAAGAAGGGTGAATTTAGATTTGATTTGTGCGTCATCTCTTCATGTTAGGCAGTTCTGCTGTTTTTCAAGGGGGTTGGGTTTCTGCATAGAATTTCTCTGTCAAGCAGGCTTGTGTGGAGAACTCACATGCCCGTTGGAGACAGCAAGTGATATGACGATCTTCTTCCTGCACTTGACCGACTTGGCCCCTTCCGGTATGTAACTCGGCTGCTGCTGCTCCCCCCCTCCCCAATCCCCCCCAGGCACTGTTCCTGCTGCACTGTACCCCAATCCTCCTCCCTCTCCCACTCCTCCTCCCTCTCCCACTCCTCCAGCCGCGGTAATAGCAGCAGCTTCCCCACCAGCAACCCCCAAATCAGCAGCATCCGTACCAGCAACCACCCCATCAGCCACACACATAGTGAGGTCGCTCTTAGCAATGATGCCTGCTGAACACAGCAGCACGCCCCTCGATAGCTTCCCATCCGTCAGATCCCCACCAGGCACGATCTGGTCCGTCCATTTGTCGACATCCAGCAGCAGCAGAGCCACGAAGAGCAGGAAGTGCCGACATTCTCGATGCATTCTTGAACTGCTGCTAACTTTGCGAATGCCCACTAACTTTGCCGCTGCTTCTGCTGCCTGCTACTGCTGCTGCTTGGGCCTGCTTATGCAAATGCCCTTCTGTTGCTTCTTCCGCTTTCCTTTGATAAACTCATGTGACTCGTTCTACAACGAAAAAAAAGAAAATAGCATCACGTTTCTCCCTTCTATTTCAAACGGCTGTAGTTTCGAATCCTTGACTCACACCGAAGGAAACCCTCCCAACACTTACTCTGATGCCGTACGGTCCTATTAGCAGCGAGAGGTCAGCGGCTTTCATGATAGGAAATTAAACGAACATACGGAAAATACATCTGATTCTTCCGCGAAAGATGTCTATGTGAGAACCCCGTTCCCTCTTCTTCCCTATACTAGGAAACGGGGTCCTAAGAATCTCCTCTCCCTCTCCCCTTGCACATCGTGTCCGCCAGGCCGTTAGGTGTGACCTCGCATCATCATGCGACGTAGCCCATCCGTTTCGCACTAAGTCGTCTTGGTCGATGCAGGAGCCACTAAGACGCGCACTACTAGCGCTCGGTCCTCGTAAACTGGTGAACAGTGTTCGCGTCACGAGGACTTTCCGTTGGGAGAACGCTCGGTTCCGTACAAACAGCTGCTTCCGAGCTGACTTTTGAGTCGACTCAAAAGTAAACTGGTGAACAGTGTTCGCGTCACGAGGACTTTCCGTTGGGAGAACGCTCGGTTCCGAACAAACAGCCGCTTCCGCGGAATGATTTCGCGATGCAACGATAGCTCCGAGCATGGAGGGTCTGAAGCGCGACGGATCTGTCGACGAACCGCGTGACCCGTTGGAAGCGAGGCCATTGGTAGTAGTACTCGAGCCGCGAGCACGAGGAACGAAAAATAGAGCTGTTTGGGATAACAGGGAGTTCTTGGGATAAGAATCGAGCCGCTAGATGCTCTACACCCCGAAGCTTCTGCGTGACGGCTGTAACCGTCGTACGTCTCAGGAGCCGCTACTAAGGGGAAAACCGTTAACGTTAACGAAAGGGTGGTGGGGATAAACAGCTCGCTTCGTTCCCCACGCCCTCGGTGGCGAGCGAATAAACGGGTTCATTGCCTGGAGCCGCGAGGAATCGCATGGAGCTGGGAGATGACTTCAACGAGGATGACATTTCCTGAGCTGGGTGCGACACGATTATATACTCTGGAGCAGGCGTTAAGTACGGTTCGCCCGTAAGTCTCGCAGTCATCCTAGGCTGAATGCCGCGCGTATCATTATGAGTTCGCTTGAATCCTTGTCAGGCTGAGGGCGTGTTACATTTTCGATTTTCTTCCAAACTGTCCGGACCGTCAGAACGGTTTTAAGTGGTCTATTCGTAGAACGCTTTTTTCAAGTGGGTTTCAATACGTTTCAGAGTGGTAATTGTCCGAACAGTCCGGAAAAATCGAAAATGTAACACGCCCTGAAAGGCAGGGGATGGAATGGACGCCATGAATGCTGTTGGGGGGAAAGATTTTCAGCGGAAAGTGGAGCCCAGTTCGGTTGGGAAATGATCCATACTCCGACTGCTGATCGGAAGCGCTGGGGAACCCGATGTGTCAGATGCACATATCCGCGTTATTGAGCGCCCGCGTCGGGTAAGCATTTTTGAATAATGTGCTATTGCTTTGCTATATTAATTTCCAGGTTTCAATGGTCGCCAAGTTTGATGTGGTCGGTTTCTACTAACATACATTATAATGGATTCATTATATCCGAAATAGGGTGTAGTTGTGATAGTGTGCAGCGTGGTGTTTGTCGTTGGTGTTTTGCCTGTGAGTGGTGATTGTGCTGATTTCAGGGTACAGTCACCAAGTCGAGGAAGAAAAACATCTACAGTTCATAAACAACAACGGCTGCCTGTCATCAGAATTGTTTACCCCAGACTCGTTTCACATTCCAATTTCATTTTACAATCACATTTTTGCCCGTGGCGACAAGGGCGAATGTGGCGAAATGTTCAAAACTCGTTTCACTCACATGCCGCCCGCCTACCTGGTGTTCTTGAAATGAGCACCGACTGTAACAATTTTTGTTGACTATGGAGCGTTGACTATGCACACCCGTGTCCATTTGTCCGGCTGTCGACACTGTGCGTTGTATTTGTCAGGCTATTCTGGTAAACTGACTTGTGATTTGTGCTCATCCTCGTTCTGCTGCTCCTGAACATGCCAAAACATGCCTACTGTTCTGAAATACCGCCGCGTGTTTGATTCACATTTCTCAAGGGGATGAGGTGAAGGGGGGGGGAGGAAGAGGGGATGAGGTGACAGACAGGGGGAAGACGGGAACTTTTGCCCGACTGGGGTTGAGGTTGGGAAGGGGGAGAGGTGCGGTGAGGGTGGAGGGCGGCAGCTGATGACGTGTAGTCCTTGGACGAATCAGACAGCTTCGTGCATGGATTTCAACGCGTTCAGTACCACATACGAAACGTCTAGGTTTGCAACCTTTTATCCGCGGGTTTTTAGTTATTGCGGAAGGGGTACTTCCGAACCTGCGCTTTCTAGGGAGCTTCATCTCTACCTGCACAGAGTTTCCCAGGTTTCGACGCCCAGACAGAAGACTTATTGCGCTGGGACAGAACTCGGCTCCACGTTTACCCACGTGTCATCATCTCGTAAGGCCTTAGCTGCTACTAGTCAGGCAAACGATGCACAACAGAATTTGTTTTTTTTTTTCCTCTCTAATCCGCACTAAACTAAATCCCTCTCGGCTGGTAAGTGATAGGGGGCATCAACCCTAAACACTGCGACTAAGTGTTTAGGGTTGATGCCAAAAATAATCCCTCTTGGTTGGCATGTAAATAAAGGGCATCAATCCTAAACACCTAATCGCGTGGAGTTTAGGGTTGATGCCCTCGAAAACTTGCCACCCGAGAGGGGTTTAGTTTTGTGCTTGCTGGCAGAAGACACCCGATGAAAACAGTGCTTGCGTGACGTGCGGAGAAGCCGAGTTCTGTGTTAGCACAATAACTCTTCCGCCTCAGAAGCGGATCAGCGGAAAGTGTGCGCAAGCTGAGATGAAAGTCCCTTGAAAGAAGGACAGCTACAGTAAGCCTTCCGGGGAAACTAAAAACCCTTTATCCGCAGGCTGTGCGGCTACACCACATGCCGAACCCAGAACCAAGCCTCGGCCGCACGTCCCACCACTGTCACCGCTTTGCACACCAACCACAAGCGTCACTGTGGCGTGGCGTGGGGGAACCCTGGGGACTCGAGTCGAGTGCCCCTTTCACAAGTGGGCCATTTTCAGGTGTAATCCACACGTGCCAGGAAATATACTCATGTGTAATCCAGGTTACTGTGCAGATACGAACACCATATTCATTGTAAGGAATTGCTGTCGATTTGCTCCTGCGCAGCTTCCGTCACCTGCGTCAACAGTACAGCTAAACTCGAATAAAATTTCTTTCATAAAACTCCTGATGCGAAGCATAAATTGTCGTCAAAATTGGGCAAATATGACAGGGACCATTCAAATTTCGCTTGGCGTGATCCGAAATCGCTTTTGATTTAGACTGTTTGTGTTATTTTGATTCGGACCTCGGGGAAAAGGAGAAAATCGACAGCAATTCCTTACAATGAATATGGTGTTCGTATCTGCACAGTAACCTGGATTACACATGAGTATATTTCCCGGCACGTGTGGATTACACCTGAAAATGGCCCTTCACAAGTCATTTAGATTTGTCGGCCACTTCCCGAGCCTACGGAGGCTTGGCATGCAGGAAGAACGTCACTGGCTTGGTTGGGCGGTGAGGTGGAGGGGATGGCGGCGGCAGGGAATATATGTGGCGGGTGAGGTGGGGAAGGGGGAATGGTGGGGGGAAGGGGTTTGACGACGGGAAACTCTCGGTTCAGCACGTCGAGCCTTCTGGGCGAATTGAAACGAACCCTGAAGATTTCGCAGGTTACAGAGAAAACAGCTGGCGAGAAAGCGAATGCCGCCGCGAAATAAAAGAAATGCAACAGTACTTGCACGATGTTTCTGAAGTTGCAGAAATTTCAATGTCTGTAGGTTACTCTTGTAACCTTGACATCGCTAACATCGGAAGGGGCTGGGGCGTGTCGAGGCGACGCAGTGCACCAGGTTTCCGACTTCAGGGAAGATTTCCGTATGATCGATCCGTGCCGTGCATTGCCAGGCCTAGGATGGCGTTGACGGATCTACATGTGCGAACTGCATCCGTTAGAACTGAATGTTTCGTCAAACATCAACCGCAACCACCGCCATAGTCAGCCCGACGAACCGGCCCGGGGGCGGCAGTGAGAGGGCCGACTGAGGCACGACGAGCGAAAACCACCACACCGCGCGATGTGTGATTCCGCCATCGTCAGCCCGACGAACCTCGGGGGCGGCTGTGAGAGGGCGGACTAAGGCACGAGCGAAAACCACACACCACGCGAGCGATGTGTGATTCCGCCATCGTCGTCACGACGCCGGAAGCGGCCATGGCATGGCGCGGCCCCCGTCGCTGGCGGAATACAAGCGCGCGCGCGGCAGCTAGCTGTTCCATCGATCACCGACTCTGTGAGGGCGACGGGTACAAAGGAGGGCGGCTATGCTATGCACGCACAGACCATTGCCTATGCAGTTCGTTCAGAAACGCTCAGAGTCTTGTACGTGCGCAGCCTTTAGTCTAGACTATGAAGACTATTTAGAGTCTTAGTAGTATGCATAAGAAGCTCTGGCTTCAACTATGTGAAGGAATTTGCTGGAAAAAACGCCAAGGCAGAAAGTTCAAGTAATTTCATTGAAGAAGGCATACAAAAACAGAAAACACAAAGCAAGTTATAAGCAAAAGGATTTCTGATTTCGCCCTCGCGCCGCGCCTAATATCGAGCTGAGTTGTACTCGGCTCAATTCCCAAATCCAACCATGCACCGAACGCGCCTCGAGTTCGAATTTCAGACTTCCTTGGACGCGCCTTTGACCCGGCGTGACTTCTCATCACGTCACTTGATATCTCGACATTTCA